CCCCAAAACCCCAAAACCCCAAAACCCCAAAACCCCAATATAATTTATCCAAGTTGAAACTGGACGGTTTACTTACTATAACCAGCATTTTTACGACCCTGAAATATTTCAGATTTGTTTTTATAGTGAAAAATTTATTAAATTAAGCTCGTTTGGGATATAGGACCTATTAGAGGTCAAAAGTTACCCTCTTCTTGTTAAGTTGTGGGATTTCCTTCATTGTCATGGACCTGAACAAGGAAGGTCTTCGTGAGACTCTTTGAAGCTCAGAGATGTTCCAGGATGGAGCATTGCTGTGTGTCGGGATATATCTGCCAGCACTTTTGTTACCGAAACTGTCAATTTCTGCTCTATTTATTGGGATTGTTTGAGGAGTTATGAAATTCTATACCAAAATATGAGCGATTGAGAAAATAAATTAGAATGATTCATATTTTGGAATTTGATCTGGAAGAATTCTCAGATTTATGCATTTATACTCTATTCTTCACAAAGAGGTTTATCATTGAACTAGAATACAATAGCTTACCTTTTGGTACTGGATTTCATTACCAGCGCTTCTGTAGAAATTCTTTTCCCTAAAATTCAGTAAGTATATGAAAGCAAGAATCAGGAGGATTCGAAAAAGAAATCCAAAATAATGTGAATAACTTACTTTGAAAACTGCGATTTCTTATAGTTATGGCTATTATAAACGCTTGGATGGACCTTAACCGGGCCTGAATGAGATGATCTTGGAGTTATTCTTGCCTTTGATACTATATCAAGCCCACTCTTGCTAAGCACGCTCGGAGTGCGTGCATAACTTTTTGAAGGCGCAGAACCTGGTGAATACAGATTCTGCTCATTTATCGTTGAAGCTAATTTTTGACCTTCCATATTTATGAAAGGAGTGTTCACAGGAAGAGGACCACTAGCCCTTTTGATAGGATGAGCATGCTTTACCCTATGCAAGCTAGGCATACTGGCAACCTTAGACATCTTATATTGATCAATCTTTGTGTTCAGATAATCGATTGAGTCTCTTGTGGAGCTTTCTCTTGAAAATTGGCTTGAGCAGGATGAAACAGAGGATGGACTTGAAACCTTAGACTTTAATTGCTTCTCAAACTCTTTCAGTTGCTTTATGAAACCTGAGTTAGGTTGGATAATTGATCTCTTTGATTTCACAAATCTGAATGCTTCTTCGAATGAAAAATTAATATATCTCTTCATCAGATAACTTATTACCATAGTCGAACTTCTGCTCACACCTGCATGGCAGTGCACTAGAACTTTATTGTGAGATTTTAAGTCTTTGGAGCATCTGAGAGCGTTATCAATGAACTTATGAGCTTCTTCAAAGTGAGTCTTGATATCCTGTTCTGGGATATCTCTAAGCTCCATGAACTTATAGGTGAAGTCTTTCGGGAAGACTTCTCCAATATCTTCTCTAACAACCCTAAGAATATGGGTTATGCCATGCTTCTTGAGTAATTTCTTGTCACTTGAAGCAAGATAATTTCCGAGGTATAAACCTTCAATAATTTTATTCATGGGGTCAGTGCCGATAAACCAGTCTGTCATTTAAAATATTAATGCAGTCAATTTCGTTTCCTTTATAAGGGGTTTTGGGGTTTTGGGGTTTTGGGGTTTTGGGGTTTTGGGGTTTTGGGG